AGTGTCTATCACTCCATTCAGCACCTTCTCTCTCACAAAGTGACAGTCAACCTCTATGTGCTTGGTTCTTTCATGAAACACCGGATTAGAAGAAATATGARCTGTAGCCTGATTGTCACAATAGAGCTTCATTGGAGTGTTAATATTGTATCCTATCTCCTATAGAAGGTTCCTTAGCCACACTAATTCACAAGTCGTATGTGTCATAGCTCTATATTCTCCCTCTCCACTGGTTCTCGCCACAACTGTCTGCTTCTTATTTTTCCATGTCACTAGATTACCCCCAAGAAAAGTGCAATAGTCGATGGTAGACCTCCTATCAGACATAGAACCGGCCCATTCGGCATCAGTATACCCTTTTATTTCAAGTTTTCCACCACTTTTGTATATCAAACCATGACCAAGGGCCCCTTTTAAATACCTCACAATTCTTAAAACCGCATCCCAATGAGGAACCGAAGGTTTCTGCATGCACTGACTTACCACACTAACCACAAATGAAATATTTGGCCGAGTAATGGTTAGGTAGTTCAATTTACCTACAAGTCGCCGGTATCTGCCAGGGCCTTCAAACACTTCACCCATATCACTACTCAGCCTAGTATTTGTTTCCATAGGTGTTTCAGTCGGTTTAGCACCTAACAAACTTGTTTCCTCCAGCAAATCAAGTACATATTTCCTCTTACACAAATTAATACCAGGCTTAGATCTTGCTACTTCTATCCCCAATAAATATTTCAATTTACCAAGGTCCTTTGTTTGAAAATGTTCCTGTAGAAAAGTCTTCAACCTGTCAATGCCCATTTTATCATTCCCTGTAATAACAATATCATCTACATACACCACCAATAGGATTTTTCCTGCCTGAGAGTCATGACTGAAGACAGAATGATCAACTTGGCACTGTTTCATACCAAACTTCTTTACCACCTCACTGAACCTACCAAACCATGCTCGAGGAGACTGTTTAAGCCCATATATAGCCTTCTTTAGTCTGCATACCTTACCATCCTCCCCCTGAGCAACAAACCCCGATGGTTGCTCCATGAGACCTCCTCGAGCAAATCACCATGCAAAAAAGCATTCTTGATATCAAGCTGATAGAGGGGTCAATCATACATAGCTGCAAGAGAGATCACAACACGAACCGAACCTATCTTAGCAACTGGGGAGAAAGTCTCTATGTAGTCAATACCATAGATTTTGGAATACCCTTTTGCAACTAATCGAGCTTTCAGGCGCTCAACACTACCATCAGGCAAATACTTAATAGTATAAACCCACTTACAACCGACAGCCTGCTTCCCAAGAGGAAGAGCGGTGAGGTCCCAAGTATGATGATGAAGAAGAGTTGAGAGTTCTTCCATTGCACGACACCACCCTAGAGAGGCAACGGCTTCCTGGACATCCTTAGGGACAACAATTGAGGATAACAAAGAGATAAACTGGCGATGGGAAGCGGAAATGTGAGTGAGTGAAACATAATTAGAAATAGGATGAAGGGTACAAGTGCGTTTACCTTCCGGCAAGGCAATGGGAAGATCAAGATCAGATACTGGGTCTGGGGCTGGTGTGGAGACAACTGCCGGAGGAGTAGCAGCCGGTACATGTGGGCGATGTATATACACTTGACGGATAGGTGGGCGTTCAACAGGTGGTGGCATTGGAGGCAAGGACTTGGTCACGGCTGGAACAAGGGGAACATAATCGGCAACTGGAAGTGGAAGAGGGGGAGGTGATGAGGAGGAAGAAGCATCACCGGACCCCAAGAAAAATGGAGTAGACTCAAAGAAGGTAACATCAGCACACACAACGGAACGTCGAGAACTAGGATGGTAACACTTATACCCTTTCTGGGTCCGAGAATAGCCAAGGAAGATGCACTTATGGATTGTGCATCTAACTTGTCCTTCCCGGGGCCCAGATTATTGACGAAGCAGACACACCCAAAAACCCGAGGAGAAAGAGGAAACGGAGACAAGGTGCGAAACAAGGTAGTGAATGGGGAATGACCATCAAGGATAGACGTGGGCATCCAATTAATCAAGAAGCCAGAAGTAAGCACCGAATCACTCCAAAAGGGTTTGGGAACATTCCATGTGATGCATGAGGGATCGTGCTGTTTCCAARAGATGRCGATTCTTTCTCTCAGCCACCCCATTTTGTTGTGGGGTGTAGGTACATGAGGTCTGATGTATAATGCCATGTTGATCGAAGTATTCTTGAAATGATGAAGATAAATATTCACGACCATTATCAAAACGAAAAATTTTAATGTAAACACCAAATTGATTGCAAATCTCAACATAAAATTTTTGAAAGATGGTAAACAATTCACTTCTTTCTTTCATTAAATAGAGCCACGTCATCCTTGAAAAATCATCAACAAAAATGACAATATCTATATCCATTGTATGACATCACTTTATAAGGAYCCCAAACATCYGARTGAAYCAAAGAAAAAGGACTCGACACACGGTTATCAACCCTAGAACTAAAGGGAACATGGTGATGTTTCCCCAACTGACACGACTCATAATCTAAAACAGAAAGTTGACTCAACGAAGGAACCAAAGATTTCAAAACTTTTCAGCGAAGGATGACCAAATCGACAGTGCCACTAGAGAGGAGAGAGATGACTGGAGAG